TACGTAATAGAAACTAAGAACACTGTGTGAAGTATTTCTAGTCTTACAACAATAATAGAAAATCAAATAAAAATTGTAGGCCTACAATATTTTATAATATGTCTTTAATTCCTTGACCAAAGTCCTGCAATTATAATTGAAGTTATATTTATATATTTTACTAGCTGTGTACCCGTTCTACGCACGGGGATCTTATAATATTCAGTTGAAACCTTCTTATATAACGAACAGCAGTTGGTTTGCATATTTTAAGATATGCTGGCCAAACTATTATACATAGCTTCATTTTATGTTGTTTTTTGTTGTTCCGGATCGGTATGACAATCAATAAAAGGTTAAATTACCTCTGTGTCTGCCGGTCGATCCTATAACGGTAGGCTTACTTTTATTTTTACTATCTGATCTCGTTTGCATGGCTCAATCACGTCCTGGTTGAAGTTCGTTCGCTACGCTCACTCACCTGTATGTTGGAGCTCGTTCGCTGCGCTCACTTTCCTTCAGGTTAGCTCGTTCGCTACGCTCACTTGCCTTCAGGTTAGCTCGTTCGCTACGCTCACTCGCCTCCAGGTTGCAAATTAGCTGTTGTCATAAATGTAAAAGAAATAATAGTGCTAGTGCTGCACCCTGTTGGTAATCCTTGTAACTTTAATGCTATTGAACATCACAGAACAGAACCAACTTGTTTAATTGAAACAGCTGTTAAGATTCAATAATTTCATTTCTCATAAGGTTAACATGGGCTTCCAGAAATTCCACGTCAAAAATCGACAAAAACTTGATTTTCAAGGGTTTACTGTTAAATATCTAACTGTCTCATATTCGATGAAATACGTCTAAAACCATCTCATATATGTATAGTATTTGGAAAATAAGTTTCAGGCGGGACAGTGCTATAGTTATTGAGGAGTAGTTGTAATAAAGTGCGTATTTTAGCGTTACCAAGAGAATGACAGATAGACAGACAGACAGACAGACAGACAGACAGACAGAAATTGAGATAAGGTTTGATTCGGTTTCTCTGACCTATGAAATGTAAAAATAACCAAAAAGTTCATTATTCTAAGCAATGTACAGACAAAACTCTAATTTTATTTATATAGATTAAATTCAATAATTGCATTCCTGTTTCTAATCAATTTTAAAAACCTTAGCAATTTTATTTAAACTAAACGGTTGTAAGTAAATAATTGATGAGTAAGTACTGTAATAACGTAATAAGTTGAATTAATTTTTGGAATAATCTTTTGTCTTGTGATTTTATAATTATTTATTTTAAATTAATTTTCATATACAATGTAAAACAACATCTGTATTAAATACTATTATTAAAAACTACTACTGTACTATCATCCCTAGTATAACATAACGCCCGATGCTTTTCAATCTAGCAATTAAACGTTTACATAAGTATATTCTTCAACAATTTAAAGATTGTTTGTCTTGAAAAGGAAAACATTTAGAATCGTCGACTTTACACGTTAAGAGTCATGTCGAAATGATCTCAGGTAGTTGGAATTTTTACCCTAATTCAGCTTTGTGTATTGGAAACCAAACTACAGTTAACTACAGCCAAATATGTATGTGTCCATTGGATTCCAACATCTGCCAGTTCAGGAAACTGCTGATTACAGCTATTGGGCTGGAAAGAAATTATTTCTGCATTGTCCAATACAGTATAACTTAAGATTCAAACTATTCTATAGTAAATATATATATACCTCCGCCGCAACAAACCTGCAGACTAAGCAACTTGTCTGATTACATTTTTACTAAGATATTTCAACAAATAATAACATTAGATTTAACGAGTGCTTAGGTTTGCTGCTACGGAGAGGGTGAAAAGTGTTTTTTGGCCAAAAGTTAATAGCATAGGATGAAACAAATCAATTACCCAAATTTGATTAACATATATCCATAAATAAGTAAACTACAACAGTTTTAATTTTCCCCTTATGAATAACACAGGAATTTAAAAAATATTTTTTTTTTAATTTTTTCTGTAACCAATCGACATAAAACAGCGCTTCAAGATACTAAATTATTTCTTTTTTTAAGCTCTACAAAATAGTTTGAAAATAAATTGAAAAATGTTATGTTTTAGGGTAAAAAATGGGGAAACCCCATTTTAACACCATAAAGCCCCCTATAAACCCCCATTCGCATGGTCCAATCATGCTGGTTCGCGAACTCGTTTGAATAATGTAGGTTTACACTTTTAAACCAAATTTTATGAAAATCGGACCATTTTTGCGCAAGTTATCGTGCTAACGGACACATATATAATAAATATATATAAATCTTATCTTACTAATATTAATTTGAAAGTTTGTGTGTTTGTTTGTTTGTTTGAAGTTCAATCAAGAATTAACTACTGGACGTATTGGGCTGAAATTTGGCATGATGATAGCTCACATTCCCGATTAACATACAGGCATATTCTTATCTCAAAAATGCTTTTGGGCTCCACCGCTCCGCCCCAGTGGCTCTGTAGTTCCCCATGTTAACATTATTAGTATTCATATTTAAAGGGAATTTAGTCAGCTGTTTCAATGTAAATCTGTATAGAGGCTGAACATCTTATGCGGAGAACTTCAACAAATTTGTTATGGCATTAAATAGTTATTTGTGTAACTAGTGAGCAAAGTGGCACTTTGCTGCACATGAGAGCAACGAATGATCTCGAGTGCAGCAAAGGCCTTTTTCACTCGTGTTACACATTATATTTTTCCTACAGTCACTATAAAGCATTTAAATAATTAGTCTTCCAAACACTATACAACACGTTTTTAGGTTCAGCTGGCAACACAAATGGTGCCCTAGAAAAAGTAGTACCCGCGGTCCGTATCACTCCGCTATTTTTCCTCGGCAAGAAATGTGCTATGTGCTCCGCGTTTTGAGAATATAGTTCCGTATTTGTTTGTAATTTGAAGTGGTTTCCGCGCCTAAAAAAATGCTTTAAATGTATTTTTTTGTTTATTAAGATCGTAGGAATGTTTTAAAAACGTTTAAAAGAAAAGTCCAGAAAGTTCAGAAATACCGAAACTATAAACACGAAATGACAGGTTAAATCGTAGTTATAATAGTCAATCAGCTGCTCGTAGAATTTTTATCTTTAAGTGTTGCCAACCTATTTCCAAGCGTACACGGATTACGTGCGTAATAGAACCACGCTGTTTTGTGTTGTTTCGTTGGAATCCTGATGTGCGGCAAAGTATAAACCGTACGGCAAATTATAAACCGTACGGCAAAGTATAAATATGCAGCAATTAGCAGCTTTCTGTACTATAAACAGTACAAAGAAAGCCAACTTTGTCGGGTGACTGTAGGAAAAAATTGTTGTAGTTTTCTATTTAATGATTTCTCGAAATAACCTAAATAAAATGGGGTGAATAGAAACAACAGGGTGAATAGAAACAAAACTTCAATGAATGATTCACATTTTTATAACTTTGTTATACATTGACTTTATATAAGGGAATTATTTCCCCCCATTATAACCATATCCTATCTACCTGGGAAAAATTAGTTTAGCATATTGGTATCACTGCTTCGGATGTTGGATGATGCGAAACATCATTTGAAAATTTTGGCGAAAAACATTCTTTTCAACACTTTCTCTCTAAGTATGAACCTATTACATGTATTTATGTTAATAACCATTTTTTATATTGTCTTAGGTATCTTAAAACCAAGTGTGTTAATAGATTAGCCTTAGAATAAACTATATTTTTTTACTTTATTTTTAATTTAGGTTATGTCATGATTTTGCAAAACCAGGGTGAATAGAAACACTTTTTTTTTAACCAGTGGTGCAAATAAAGGTTGACCTGAAAACCCCCCAAAAAAGAAAAAAAAATACCAGAGATGAAGATGATTCTACATCAGTCACACTGGATGAAAGTGACAAAGACGAATAATTTGATGAAGAAGAACCAGCATACTTAGCTCAAGACATCAGTGAGTCTTCAAAGTTGTCCCTTCATGATCATGTAATTGTCAAAGTAATGGGGAAAAACAAAACTTGCTATCGTTTATATGTTGCAAAAGTTATTGAATTTGACGAGGAAGGATAAATCGGAAGATTCATCAAGAAAATTGCGCAAACCAACAAGTTCTGAGAGACAGATTAAGAGGCCCTCTTCAAAGTCGATGACGTAGTACGATCGGCTTCCAACTCCCAAGCCGTGTACAAGGGAGTGTTGTATTTTGAGGAAGATTTGTCTGGTTTTACTCTTCATTTAGTTGGTTTCTATGTAAGAGTTTGTTACTCTGATTTCACCCATTGTCATTTATGTTCTCCGATTTGTTTGGATAAGGGTTTATGAAAACGACGTTTTTATACTTCGTACTTATAAATAAATGTGTTAATTAACTTTAAATATTTTTATTTACAACAACCTAAGCTAACAAGCATAAATTTCATGTTTCTATTGCCCCTGGTAAGTGAGGAAAAGCAACAATCATCAATTTAACACAGTGTTTCTATTCACCCCAAAGTGCGGGGTGAATAGAAACAGCCATATTTTATTTGTTTTCTGCTTAATGATTAAAAAGAAAAAAAAATTGAAAACTGGTTTGAGTAGAGGAGTTCAAGACCGAAAATATGAGCTAGTGTTGAAAATTTAAAAATTAAAAATATCGGTTTTACAGAAGCTTAAAAGTCAAAAAGTGTTTCTATTCACCCCATTCTACTACAATCGTTTCTGAGCACAGTTAAGCTATTCACCATGTATACATCTTATATACCGAAAAAAGTTGTATTGTCTAATCCCGAAAATAAACATTTAAAGAAGCATACAGCCATTTGCCGATTTACTAAAAGACAGACACGTTCTTTAGTACGATCGCGTTCATCGTACAATATACAATTTTTCACGCAAATAGAGAATTATAATTAGAAGAGCTTTTTTTAAAAGAAAGCTAAAATATTAGTGCTAGCAGCATATTAACTAAAAGTTCAATATTTAAACATGTTATTCGTGTATTTGACTGCCACATACCTCCAGGTAAGGTCGGTATGGTCCCACCGCGGTCCTGTGTGTATGGCGAACCTTCTCTTCCTTGAACCAGGGTCAGGCAGATCGCTGACTCCACATCGTCGCCTCCTCATCAATCCCCGGGTGGCATTGTCAACCTCCCCCGTCACTGTGATGTTAGCGAACATCTGTAACATGACAGACATTAGTCCAGGGTCCGGAAAATCACTGACTCCACTACCTCCCCATCAATCCCAAGTTGGCATTGTCAACCTCCCCCGTCACTGTGATGTTAGCGAACATCTGTAACATGACAGACACAAGTCCAGGGTCCAACAGATCATAGCCTCCGCCGCCTCCTCATCAACTTGTGGGTGTCATAGTCCACCTCCCTTGTTACTGTGAGGTTAGCGAACGTCTATAACCTGACAGACACAAGTCCAGGGTCCGGAACATCATAGACTTCGCCGCCTCCTAATCAACTTTCGGTGGCATTCTCTGCCTACCTTATTACTGTAATGTTAGAGAACATCTGCATGACAGACCCAAGTCCAGGGTCCCGCATAAAGATTTAGTATGTTGTAGTCCTTTGAATGTTGAACAAAATGGCACAAAACCCATTTTCGTAAAAAGTATGGTTCATAGGTTATTGTAACTTATGTTATTTTCCCATTAAAACCCCCCATTAAATACAAAAAAATCGGATTTTAGAAAAAAACTGGTTTGATTAGTATGTTGTGGTTCATAAAATTCTGAACAAAATTGTACAAATCCCATTTTTGTAAAAATTATGATCCAAAGGTTTTTGTAACTCATGTTATTTTCCCACGCAAACCCCATAAAATAACAAAAATCTGATTTTTTAGGAAAAAAGCCGGTTTTGTTTGAAGTTTATGTATTGTGGTCCTTATAGCTCTAAACAAAATAATGTATCCCCTTCCCCCCATTTCTGTAAAAATTACGGTTCAAAGGTTTTTAGTTACTTTCACTGATTACCCATGATAAAATTTGTTGACAAGCTCATTGAAGAAATTATGTGTCAGATTGCATTATTTAAAATTAACTGTGACACACATTTTTTTCTATAACTATCACATCTTAAAAAAAGTATGCGGACTGGGTGGAAATTGTTAAATAAAGACCTCCGGGTAATGTCGTCGTTTAGAGGCTGACTACAAGGGGTGAGGGGGTGAGCTGGAATTTCCAGATTACCTTCGATTTGCAGGGAATGGAATGCGTAATTTGTTTTTTGCTCCTTTGTGGAAAAGACCGAAATACGTATTTCCGGTTGTTTCTATGTATTTTAAATGTACTTTAAAGAAGTACGTAATTTAGTATACCGTCGTCGTATGAATTCCGTAAAAACTACTTTCAAAGTAACACAAATGTTAAAGAAACTATATTATAAATGGTTGGTAAAAATAATTTATTTCTTTGTCAGAAAATTCTTTTGTATCCATTTTACATGATTCAGAATTGTTAAGGCCTTATCTTTCCAGTATGATTTCTATCATATAATTGCGTAAAGAAATGGAATCAGCAATCTGACACATACTTTGTTTGAACAGTACTTGGTTCCATTACCGGTCATGGTCCAGTATGAAGTGGTATTAATTAACTCTTTAAATTATAACAATTCTGTTTAAATCTTCGAATAAATACTAGGCTTGGCTAATCAAAATCCGTATGGCTCTTTGAAGAGCGATATCTCTAATAAACAGACAGTTTTTATTGTTATGAGAGTCTTTTCTTACTTGATATGTGGACACACAGTTTAAGGTGATCGTCGACAATCGCGACAAGATTATCACATAACTGTTTCTGATAGATGAGATTCATATTCATATTCAGGTCTCAGACCAGGTGGGCCTACCGCTCCTAGAACATGTTACTGAATATACATGTATTTGTAATACATCGACGCTTGTATACTTTATTGAAGATTGGTTAACAAACCACTGAGCAATGGCGGAGTTAATATAGTTGAACGTATGTGCAACCATCGGATCATCATGCACCAAACTCATTCTCCAAAAAAATTAACAAGAAATGTTTTTTATTAACTAAGAAATGTCTGACTTTTGATGCGAAAGTTGCCTCCCTTATGAATTATTTAGCACAATGTTTAGACGCCATTGCTGCTTACATAATTAATACACTTTTCGTGCAAGGACTGTTAATACTTCAAAATAACTCTTTATAATTCGCAGACTTAGGCTTGTTAATAATCTAAATTTCCAATTTCTCTACTTTAAAGTACCGTTACAAATTTCTAAGTGTTATGCTCCACTGCAATACATTGCAATACTCAGCGAAGGCAGGGTGCCTTCAGTGAGTCGTATGTTATACCCGCACTACTGTGATGTACCTGTATTGCGTCTAGTGCCGTTACAAATTTCTAAGTGTTATGCTCCACTGCAATACATTGCAATACTCAGCGAAGGCAGGGTGCCTTCAGTGAGTCGTATGTTATACCCGCACTACTGTGATGTACCTGTATTGCGTCTAGTACCGTTACAAATTTCTAAGTGTTATGCTCCACTGCAATACATTGCAATACTCAGCGAAGGCAGGGTGCCTTCAGTGAGTCGTATGTTATACCCGCACTACTGTGATGTACCTGTATTGCGTCTAGTACCGTTACAAATACTGCAATACATTGCAATACTCAGCGAAGGCAGGGTGCCTTCAGTGAGTCGTATGTTATACCCGCACTACTGCGATGTACCTGTATTGCGTCTTAGTTTACACGGCACTACGAGATATTATTTATCTTTAGAAAAGAGACTATTCAAAAATAATAATTTCATATTAACGACAGCATTTATTTTATATAGCCCTTAGTATTTAAAATTTATTAATTTAAATTAGTTGAATAAACTAATTTCGTATTTCATAATTATACATATAGAGCTTTTGATTATTTTACTTTCGTTTGACACTCGATAATCCACCTAATTAAAGCAAGATGTTTTAAGATGATTAATTGAATTCCAAGGTAATCAAAAAATACTTAAACTAAAATTTCTAATTTGAAAAATTGAATAGACTGCAAAAATAACCTACGATCGAACTTTTGTCCTTACAGAATTGCATGTACTGTCACAACTGGACTAACGCTACGATTCGCTACTTAAGTAGACGAAGTACCATTAAAAAGCCTGCCATTCATTAAAAGCTTATTTAATGAGTTACACTCATAAGATTTATATTGTGTTGGTGTCGACGACAGATTGCCAGAAATCAATTAACAAATCCTATTAGAGGAAAAGTAAATAATCTTCATTTATGCGATTTAATCTTAATTGATATCAGTACAACCTGTAAATTTGTCGCTTGAGAATCGCTCTAAGCTGCAGTGCAGTGCATTTGCCAGGAAATATTTGATAATTCATAAAACGAAAATAAACCAATGCAAAAAAATAGAACCGTAAACATTTTAGTGCTGAAAAACAAATATAACTATGTATTTAAAAAAATGTTCTACCCTATTACAGTTTACTGAATTATGAGAGGTAGGTCTATTACTTTTTAAATTCAATACATGTCTCTTTCGCTCTGATTCAAGTCACTCAGTCGGAGTTGGGAGTCTAGCGAATAAGAACCTACTAGAGGTCGTCCAGTGGTCGATACTCGACCAAAAATATAATGTACAGACATCTTTATTTTCATTCCACACTTTGAATAGAACATGTGATTGGAGTTTCCTTCATTTGTTTTGATTTTCTGTTTATATTTCGTTGTTATTTCGTCACCAGCATGGCAACTCTTAATATTCATGTTAAATTTTTCAAAATTTTAAATTCATTTTTTGTGCTTATTTTTGAGCCTATTTTAATTTATAAAGGGATTCTGCACACCCACAGGAAAATAGCTTTCTAACAGTATGCGTAGATTTTCCCTACGATGCACACCAGCTGAGAAAAAAGGTTTTAAAGAAACATGCTTGCCTATTAATATATAGATAGATACTGTATAATTAAATTGCGTAGACATTATCAGCTATATTGACACAAGCTCAAGTATATCAATGTTCCATGTCCACTCACCTGTAGGTTGCGTATCGCCTCCTTGAGTTGGTCGTCCGTCCTCAGGTTGCCGGTCTCCATGTCCGAGGCGGGCAGATACCCGAAGTTCATCAGGTACCTTAGCTGAAACAAAACAAAACCTCATGAAAAGGCATACAGGGTTAAACAATTAATCCATCAACACAAAATAGAAAATATGATTGTAAGTTTGCAAGTTTGCTCTTGTAAGATTAATCCAAACCGTCCATCTTTACTGGAAGGTCTTTGATTTCTTCGATCTTACTTAGCAGGCTGTCCAGCGGGTTTTCAAATTTACGTGTTTGATCATTGCTTTGCTGGTTTTCAGTAGAGTTGTATTTCGCATGGGCAACAAGAACGATGATGATGTATGGCGATGAGATTAATGTAACTAATGCTACCTCTAGTTGATTTGATCTGACACACAGCATTGAAACAATCTTGTGTAGTTTTCTAGAATCAATAGTGATAGTGACGTGTTTTCACAGTGGTTTTAAAGTTTTCCCCTGGATTTATACCGTCGCAAAGCATGGGCGACCTTGCTGGCAATAATAATAATAATAAATAAATAAATACAGTACAGCACTGTAAAGTGTTGAGTCAGTTGGAATTATCTTAGTATTAGCAATAATCAATGGTATTAGTATATAGACTTTCTTTAATATAGTCGTCTTGCTATACTTTATTTATATATAAGGAAAATTATACAAACTAGACCCAATAATTGGTTACCAGTATATGACGAGCTCTCTCTTTACGTTTGAGTGTGTTTTAGAGAATTTCCCTATAGGGAAGTAGCTATTACCGTAGGTAGCACGGTAAGACCTAGGCCCGGGACCGATTCACTTTTTTTTCATTTTGATGTCCCCAGAGGCCAAAAACACCATTCGTTCAAACTTTTATACATGTATATATGCAATACCATGAACGCGATTACTTGAGTAATTTTTGTCCGATTTTGATGAAATTTTGTTTAAAGTAAGTTGGGATAAACTTGAATGGGTTCGCGAACCAGCATGATCGGTCCATGGAAGCGGGGTTTTATGGGAGTTGTTCTAATTTTAACCCTCAAAACAAAAGATTTCCCAATTTCTCTCTACACCTTTTTAAAGAGCGTAAAAAATAATTCAGTTAAAATTTTTTTTTAAATTGTAAATTTAAAACCCCCATGTTATTCTTATGGAGAATTTGGTCAAATGTTGTAGTTTGCTTGTTTATGGAGATATTTTGATCAAACTAGGCAAATTTATTTATTTTATACTAAGCTATTAATAATTTACTAAAAAACACACTTAATTAGTTTCATTGCAGCAGAAAACCTAGGTACTTGTTAAACCTAATGTTATTTAAATAGATTTAATTGAAAATCAATTCAGACTAATGGAAATTCACTTAGTCGGCAGGTTTGCTGTGGCTGGGGTATTCCTTCTGAAAGCATGAGCTACGCTTTATCAAAATTTAAGTACATTAAAAACAAATAATTACATACAATTAGTTTGCTTAGCAAGCATGAGAAAAGTTAAGATATTTTTATGATTTAGTTGATGTTTAATTGCAAATTATTGTCAGTTTCAAATGTAGTTATAATTGTTGAACAGTTTCATGAAAAGACACTTTCGTCTCATTTTTAAGAAAGCTAACTGAAATTATTAAAAACGTGTGTGTGAGACTAGAATATAGTGTGAATCTACGTAAGGAACATACGTTTTTAGGATTATGAAACAAATACTGTAATAATGTTTAAGTTGCAGCAGTTCATTCTTCGGATGTTATATAGTAAATTATCATATTTATTGAAAATGTATGCCAAAGAGAGCAAGGTACCATAATACAGTATCAATCATATACCGATATACATCAAATAAAGAATTGTTTTGTCTATATGTGGGGTATATCTTTGCTGGGTAATTCTTTTCGGGGTATTTTCATATTCCCTCGCTTCCGTTGGCACCACTGATTCCGGGGAGACGCGCACTGCATATTCATGTGTAGCGGCCAGCCTGATGCGTCTATTGTTGTAGTTTCCGGTGTCACAGGCAGCATTGTTACACGTGATGTCCTAATTTCGCTGTATTGATAAAATAAAAACAACTTTGATACATAAATACTAACTTTCACGTTTTGCATAAGGTTTATTAATAAACCTTTTTGCATTTTTGTCTAAATGATTTCAACCACAAATTTATATTGTTGGTTTAATTTGAAAATGTACGATATTATGGCTCAATTTATGGTAAAAAGAAACATTATCATTTTACAAACATAAACTTTGTTTTTCTATGGTTCTGAAAACTGGTCTACTCTTATTAGTTATTATTCAGTTTTAAAAAGTCTTTGGACAACTAAATCTACTGGACCGATTGTATTAATTGATGGGTCGTTGGAAAGCTCACTCCCTGTAGATTTGCAAATAATTATAAAAGTTTTTTTTTTAGGATTTATGTAAAAAAGTTTAAAAATACAGGTGTTACATACAAAAATATTGATAACAGGGCTTTTCAGATTTTTTATTTGGAGGCAACTTGTAGGAAATGTTATTCTCTTTCAGCATATCACCTTCCAATTTGGTCGATTTCCTCGCCATTTGAAAGCTATTATTTACAAAAAGGTTAAGCTACCTCCGAATTTATAGTGGTGAGAAAATACTGGGTTAGAGACTTTATTCAAGCTTTGTACAACTTAATCTATAGTTCTAATGGACGAGTTAATTTTTTGTCGTTGGGAGCTTAATTCGTGTAGATTTGTAAATAATTATGAAATTTCTACGTTTTTTGTTAGGATTTATGGTGAAAATATAAAAAATACATGTTTTCCATAAAAAAATATAGGTATTGAAAACGGGAGTTTTGGGATCTTTTATTTAGAGGCAACTTTTGGTAGCCTTTATTGAGTATTTTCAAGAAATGCATCATAGTAATTTGTAGGAAATTGTATTCTCTTTCAGAATATCACCTTCCACCATGGTCGATTTCCTCGCCATTTAAAAGTTATTTGCAAAACAGCTAGGCAATCTCCGAATTTATAGTGGTGAGAAAATGTACTGAGTTAGAGATATTTTTGTTAAATTTTGAACAACTGCACCTAAAGTTCTACTGGATCGATTTTGGTAATTAATGGGACGTTTAAATTTGTGTAGATATGCAAATAATTAGGCTATTAAGTTTTATTTTACCCCTATTAAAGATTTACTGTAAAAAGTTCAATCACAAGAATACGTTGTAGGAAATGTTATTCTCCTTCAGAGTATCACCAATATTAAAGGGGTATATTTATTCACTAAAAAAAATATAGAAGTATTGACAGGTGTTAGATTTGTCCTTATTCACTGTCTGTTTGCTTACTTTTTTCCGGAGTTAATCTATTAGTCACATTAACTTCATATTGTTTGTCATTATAGATGTTTACATAACGACAAAGTAATTAGTTTTTATTCTGCCACACAGTTTAATGCAAATATCTGAGAGATTTTCATTAAAATATTTAATAAGTACGATTGAAATTCGCCTACAAAATCCATGGTAAGTGTGGGTAACTGGGTTTTACAGTAGATTTACAGACCCGCATTGTATTCGTGCCGCGTTGCGAAGCATGGGCAGAACAACTAGTCTAATGCCTGTATTATGAGTCTGCTGATTTATTACTTAACTAACCGAAATATAACACAAACATTTTAAAGATCATAATTAATTGTTATAACCATTTTCATAACGTGTTGCAAAATAATTCGAATACATTTGATATTACAGTTTAAAGTAGTTTCGAAACCCTTATACATATAATAAAAAATTTAAAATGCTATTGTAAATGCCTATTTGAAACTTCTTTCATCTATCCAATGTTGGCCTTGAGTTGAATTACAACCGATTAAATATTACAACATTCTAGACTGAAGTTTCTCGCCCGCTTATACAAAGTTGATGAGTCTACACCTCTGCCTGTTTGGTATTAATAGAATTCAGATTGGTAGGTAGAGTAGAGTAGAGTAGTGAGTGATGTCACAACATTGGACGTTATGACCAGGTCCACAATGTTATATAGAGCCTGCGTTTATTTAAACATTACTCTTCTAGCTACGCGATAAGATATATGCATGGCTAGATTCTTTATAGAAGTGACTGATTTGTGTGATAACCATTTACAAAAGATTATCTATAGGACATATAGGTTTAGGAGTGCGAAAATACAATTTGACGGTTTACAGCCTTTATATTTACACAACTGTTCTTCATGTTAAACGTAATATTTCAACATTTACTTGAAACGTAGATAATCATAATTACAACACAAGAAACCGATATAATTTCTGAATAAATAAGCATAAAAATGTACTGTATTAAAAAAATCATCATTCATTGGAATACAATTTTTTAGCAATTACCAATAAAAAATAAAAGATGAAACGAATGACAACAGATGACAATATATTTAAAAATGCTCTAAAATTACATTTAACACAAAATGTTCTTTATAAATTCAATGATTTCTGGGCTAAGCAATAAAATGACTTGGAATTATTTACGCCTTTTAATTGCTATTTCACTGATGTATATTTTTGTTTTATCCTTGAGATGACTGTATTATTTTGTTGTTCTGTTCTTGTGTATCGTATTTGTATTTTTTTGTGTTTATATTTTATGTAATGATGAATTTGATACTATTCTTGTATATACAATATATACTACCTAATGAATAAAGATGTTTTAAATTTAATTTGATGTAATTGAAATATTAATTAATGAAATTCCATTAAGTTGACCATGAAATTACTTTACATATTGATATTGTGTACAGTTAAAACAACATTTACTATTGGCTTAGTCGTTCTAAAATAGCTTGACCTGTAGAATGTTTCTGGATATTACCAAAACAAACATAAAATATTAATAGTATAATACCTTTAAAAGGTGATTAGCCTGGCAATTTGATAACACACATAACAGAACAAAGACATAACAGACATATACACATAACATTCAACAACACACATAACATATCAGTATAAAGAGTAGGCAGTTTGTACAGTTAGGCCTACAGTGTAGGTTGAAACCTATTTTATTATCATAATATTTTTGTTATATTGCATAGAGTACTTGTAGCTACATCAT